AAAGATCAAATCAGTCACAACTTTCCCTTAAGCCAAGGCCTAATCCAGAATGAGGCTCTAACTCTTTTCAATTCTATGAAGGCTGAGAGAGGCAAGGAAGTTGCAGAAGAAAAGTTTGAAGCCTGTTGGTTCATGAGGTTTAAGGAAGAAGTCTTCTCCATAAAATAAAAGTGAAAGATGAAGCAGAAAGTGCTGGTGTAGAAGCTGTAGTAAATTATCCAGAAGATCTAGCTAAGATCATTGATAAAGGTGGCTACACTAAATAACACATTTCCAATGTAGATGAAACAATCTTATATTTTAAGAAGATGCCACCTAGAACTTTCATAACTCAAGAGCAGCAGACAATACCTGGCTTCAAAGCTCAAGTTAGAAACTCTCTTGTGAGGGCCTAATACACCTGATGACTTTAAGTTAAAGCCAATGTTCATTTACTATTCTGAAAATTCTAATACCCTTAAGAATTATGCTAAATTGACTCTGCCTATGAAACAACAAAGCCTGAATGACAGCTCATCTATTTGCAGTACAGTTTACTGAATATTTTAAGCTCATGGTTGAGATCTACTGCTCAGGAAAATGATTCATTTCAAAATATCACTGTTCCTTGACAATACACATGGTCATCCAAGAGCTCTGATGAGATGCACAAGATTAATGTTGTTTTCATGCCCACTAATACAACATCCATTCTGCAATCCGGGGATCAAGGAGTAATTTTGACTTTCAAGTCTTATTATTTAAGAAATACATTTCATAAAGCTATGTATAGCTGCTATAGATCTCGATTCATCTGACAGATCTGAGCGAAGTAAATTTAAAAACCTTCTAGAGAGAATTCACCATTCTAGATGCCGTAAAGAACATTTATGGGAAGGGGTCAAAATTTCAACATTAAGAGAAGTCTGGAAAAAGTTGACTCCAACCCTAATGGATGATATTGAGGGATTCACGACTTGAGTGGAGGAATTAACTGCAGATATGGTGAAAATAGCAAGAGAATTAGAATTAGAGCCTGAAGATGTAATTGAATTGCTGCAACTCATGATAAAACTAGAATGGATGAACAGTTGTTAGGGTTTTTTTTTGTTGTTTTTTTTGGCAGGGGGAGGTTTATGAACAAGCAAAAAAAAAAAATAAGTGGTTTCTTGAGATAGATTCTACTCCTGGTGAAGATTCTGTGAACATTGCTGAAATGCCAAAAAAAATAGGATATTATATAAACTTAGTTGGTAAGCAGTGGCAGGGTTTGAAAGGGTTGATTATAATTTTGAAAGGAGTTCTCCTGTGTGCAAAATGCTATCAAATAGCATCACACTACAGAGAAATCCTTTGGGGAAAGGAAGAATCTATCAATGTGTCCAACTTCATTGTATTGTTTTTTAATATGACCACCCCAACCTTTGCAACCACCACCCTGATTAGTCAGCAGTCATCAGCATTGAAGCAAGACTTTTCGCCAGCAAAAAAGATTACAACTCTCTGAAGACTCTGGTGATCATTAGCATGTTTTGGCAATCAAGTATTTTTTTGTTTTTTGAGTTGGAGTCTCACTTTGTTGCCCAGGCCAGAGTGCAGTGGCACGCTTGTGGCCACCACAGCATCGACCTGCTGGGCTCCGGCGATCCTTCTGCCTCAGCCTTCCAAGTAGCCAGAACTACAGGTGCGCATTTCCACACCCAGCTAATTTTTTTTATTTATTGTAGAGACAAGGTCTCACCAAGTTGCCCAGGCTGGTCTGGAACCCGTGGGCTCAGGCAATCCACTCGCTTAGGCCTCCCAAAGTGCTGGGATTATAGGCTGAGCCACCGAGCCCGGCCACAATTAAGTATTTTAAAATCATGGTACGTACATTGCTTTTTAAGACATAATACTATTGCACATTTAATAGATTACAATATTGTGACTCAGTTTATTGTGATACTTGCTTTATTGTGGTGGTCTGGAACTAAATCTACAATATCTCCAGTATAAGCCTGTCTCTGGAAAGAGTCTAGTATCCAGAATTATAAAGAACTGTTGCAACTCAACAATGAAAAGTCAGACAACTTGATTTTAAAAATGGGCAAAGAATTTGAATAGACGTATTCCAATGTAGACATTAAAATAGCTAATAAGCAAGATACCCTTGGCCATTCGAGAAATGGGAAGTGACTGCTACTAGGTACAGGTTTTTTAGGGGTGGGGGAATAAAAACCTTCTGGAGCTAGACAGTGGTGATGACTGCACAACCTTGTGAATATATTAAAAACCACTGAATTGTATACGTTAAAATGACAAATTTTACAGCATGCAAATTGTAGCTCAAGAAAAGACAACAAACTTTAAAATAGTTTAAGGATTTAAATAGATATTTCTCCAAACAAAGATATACAAATTGCCGATAGGTACATGAAAGATTCTAAATATCATTATTCATGACAAAAATGCAGACCAATCTCACAATGAGAAACCATTTCATAGCCAGTAATATGGCTGTAATTTTTTTTTTTAAAGACTGACAATAACAAATGTTGGTGAGGGTGTGGGGAAATAAATTGGTCCAGTCACTTTGGAAAATAATCTGACAGTTTCTCTAAAGGTGAATTATAAGAGTTACTATATAGATCCAGAAATTCCACTCCTAGGTATCTACCCAAGAGAAATGAAAATATGTCCATGCAAAGACGTATACATGAATGTTTATAGTAGCATTATTCACAGTCTGCCAACTAGTGAATGGGAGAATAATATGTGGAATCCATACGACGGAATATTATTTGGCATTTTACAAAATGACATACTGACACATGCTGCAACATGAATGAACCTTGAAAACATTATGCTAAGTGAAAGAAGCCAGACACAAAATGTCATATGTTGCATGACTCCACTTAAATGAAATGTCCGGCCTAAGCAAATCCATAGTGATATAAAGTATTTTAGTGTGGTTGCCTTGGGCTGGTGGGGTAGGGGGAAAATGAGGAGTGACTGCTAATGGGAATGAGTTTGGGGAGCAATCAAAAATTTCTAAAATTGATTGTGGTGATAGTTCCACAACTCTGTGAATATATTGAAAATCATTTAACTGTATATTCTCAGTGGATGAATTACATGGTGTGTGAATTATACCTCAATAAAGCTGCTACATAAAAAAGGAAATGGTAACATTCTGTTGTTTAAGCTGAATGGTGGGTACATGGGTGCTTATTTTATTATAATTCTTTCAATTTACATTTAGATTATTCTTTGCATTGTTAAAATATATATCCTAAAGAAAACATTTTAGAAATCTGACAGACCTAAATTCTGGCTCAAGCACTTAAGAGCTGTGAGTTCTTGGGCAGATTACTTAACCTTAAGCCCTTCCAATATCTTATCTGTAGAGAAGAGATGGTAATAATAGTAACTCCCTCATTGACTTTTACATCATGTGTCTGGCACATTGTCAGTGCTATTATTAGCTAATGTTAACTGTAAGTAGTTGAGCCACTTGTCTACAAATTCCAAGTTCATGGACTCTCTTTCTTTAAACTCCAGTTTCTGTATTTGCTATGCCACAAGAATTCAGAACATTGACCAGGGGAATAAAATTGACCTTCAAGTAGTACCTACTGAACTCAACCTTAAAAAAAGGTATGTAACATAACAGTTCTATAAAGTCAATAAAACTCCAAACAAACCAGAACAAGAACCAAAATTTTTCACTTCTGAGGGTTGGTGTCAGATAATGTTCTAGCCTGGCTCTGGTAGTTCCAATCTAGGCCAGATTAAGAGGAGAATATTCTCTTCAGTCTTGAACGACTTCTAGAATTCATGTCCAGTCTGCATCCAGACTCCAAGTTAAGTCAAAATAGTCTCTCTGTGTTGTTCTCACTATTGTTCCACCTGGATTTCTAGCATATGACTTCAAAGGTAAAACTTTGTCTTCAAGCCTATCATATAGTTTCCTGGCCCAGATGAATATGTCAGTAAATGAATCAGGGATGGGAAGTCAGAGGCTAAGGAAGGGTGGGAGCGATGTGGCACTTATCTAAGTCCCTTGCAAAGACTCTTATTGTTAAAGGAGACGCTGTTCTATTGTTCATCATGACTCTGAAGCAATTTATATCTGTATATAATTATTATCAGAGCCCTTTGCTTAAAGTACCTGTTGCACATCTCACACCTGCCTTTTAGCTATGTCACCGCTTGTCACTTCCTCTGCCCAGATAAGGGAAAACAAAAAGAGATGAACCTAGGCAGTTTCGCTATTTCTCAGAAACTCAGATAAAACATTTATTGAACCGGGGGAGGCTAAACCTTTGAATCTAAATAGAATTTTTGTGGGCCAGACACGGTGGCTCATGCCTGTAATCCCAGCACTTGGAGAGACTGAGGCAGAAGGATTGCTTGAGACCAGGAGTTCAAGACCAGCCTGGGAAACATAACAACAACCAAAAAATTATCTGGGTGTGGTGGCATGCACCTATAGTCCCAACTACTTGGGAGGCTGAGGTGGAAGGATTGCCTGAGCCAAGGAGGTTGAGGCTGTGGTGAGCCATGATCGTGCAACTGCACTCCAGCCTGGGCGACAGAATGAGTCTCTGACTTAATTAAATTAAATGAAAGAGTTTTGCTTCGGGAAAGTCCTCCTTGGGTCTTTTCTCATTTAGTTGATACAATGTTGCAAAGTCTCACAGCATCCTTTTAATTGCCATTTTGTAATAATGATATGTTTGCGATGTTTAATTAAATATCTTCATTTCCATCAGAATTCTATGCTCCATGAAAGGAGGGACCGTCTCCTTTTTGTTTGCTCTTGTTTCCCCATCAGCTATTACGGTCCCTTGCACACAGCAGGTGCTCAATAAATTATTTATCGGATTAATGGGTAATCAATCTATCAATGTATCAATTCCTGGCATCATCAACAAGAATAATCAAGAATTCAACTGGGACCTTTGGATTTCCAAATGTGGTCGTCCTGAGAAAAGATCTCATTGCTAAACAGTCTAGTTGAAAAAATGTTAACGATTTACCTGTGCTGGGTGAGCACATTTACAGCTGAAGGGTGATTTGCACAGTAAGCCAGATACATAGATTTAAAATGAGGCATGAGACTCAGTAGACAACCTCCTACTTTGTGTTGGTTTTCTGGAAACCTGTAAACAAAATGGGTGAAACACAAGAATATAAAATAGAAAGCAGGAGGTAAAGGAATATAATTCCAATTAAATCTGGCAGCAGGAAAACCTTTTGCATGTTTTGCCAAAATTAAAAGACAAACTATATAATAACCATTTTATCCTTGAAATTCAGGTTGTTGACCACTGCTTTGAAGTCTAGCCATCAAACATAGCTCTAATACTTAGGATCAGATACTTAATTAAAATTAATAGGTAGGGTTGTTTGTTCATTTTTAAGATGTTTATATTCAAAGTTGTCTGGGCACACTAAAAAAACTCTTGACACAAATATATAAAGTTCAAGCACAGACAAAACTAATCAAATCCAAAAATGACACACCACAATATTATGTTGTCTTAGTGGCCTGGTGGTTGTTAGGCAGTATGGCCTCAGGACTTTTTGAACTGATTTTTAAAATTCCAAGTCACCTGTCTTCATCTGTTTTTGTTTTTGTTTTTGTTTTTTTTTGAGTTGGAGTCTCACTCTGTTGCCCAGACTGGAGTGCAGTGGTCAGGACTTCTGGGCTCTGGCGATCCTTCCGCCTCAGCCTTCCAAGTAGCTGGAACTACAGGCGCGCGCTACCACGCCCGGCTAATTTTTTAATTTGTTGTAGAGATGAGGTCTCACCAAGTTGCCCAGGCAGGTCTCAAACCCGCGGACTCAGGCAATCCACTCACCTCAGCCTCCCAAAGTGTGGGATTACAGGCTGAGACACCGAGCCCGGCTTCCATTTGTAATAAAATAAAAAACTATGAGAAGGAAAAAATTATTCAGAATCCTACCATTTGGAGATATCTGTTATGCCAATTTTGGCATTTTCCTTGGACCCTTTTGTACATTTTCTCTAATAAAATAGAAAGTGAAGATTGCAAATAAAGTTTATAATCTGCCCTTCTCACTTAGGAAACATCTTTCCATATCAATAATCTAGATCCTTCTTGGCATTTGAAAGGACTCCCCAGGTGTCTTTAGTGTGGGCTCTGTCCATCTTTATCCCTTATAACTGTGTCCATTAAGTTTAAGAAACAGGTAATCACCTCAATTTCCCTATAGAGATAAAAGCTGCCAGCTTTTGTAAGGACACTGCTTGAGAAATTAATGTTGCTACAGGAATGTATTGCCTGATGATCATTATAGTTCACTCTGCAGTATGAAGTTGAACACCTGAACAAACTAGCTAGCCATCAAAACTGTGGTGTGCTTCACATAAAGACATACTTTTCCTTTCTCCACTTTCTATGTGTTTCAACTCTTAATATAACATAATAGACACAATACCAGGAGAAATTAAAAGAGAATAAACCTGTGAGGCTGAATGAATAATCCAAATGATTTTTTCACGTTATTTGCAAAAGAAAATATTTAATTAATGTCAAGGACATCATTCATGGTCAGTTAAGGCCCTATGTGTCTCTTATACTGACCAGAAGCTGTAAATTGATGTGATTTTTAATTAAAGTCAGAAATAATTCACTAGATGTAGAGCCCTGTTATACAACTAGCAGTTTGTGAACACCACCACCTAGTTCATTATCTCTGTATTGTTACTTTGTTCTGGGACAATGTATTGAGGCTGTAACGAATGCATAAATATCATCTAAGGCAATGGGCAAAAGGAAAACAAAGCACAAGCAACAATGTTCCCTAACAGAAATATGCTCCACTTACTTTGAACATTCTTCCAAGGTTTGGCAGAGTGTCTGTTGAAATGTGCATACGTCCTCGAAGTTTCCTAGCAAAGATGTGAACTCCACAGTACTCAGACTGGAAAAAAATACATGTAGTTCAGTTAACAGAACTTGAGGATAACTTTAGTTATCTATCTCTAGTCTGGTTAGCTGGTATTTTGCTGATATATGGCAAATAAAAGGGAAGAAATCTTTATATTTTAATGTTTGCTTTTTAATTTACACCAACTGTATGGTCTTAAGCAACTTTCTTAAGCTTCTTTCCTTAATTTTCCTCTTACATAATAATAATAATGGTCAAAAGAAAATTAGTGGTCATGAGGGACATTTAGGTATTTTTATAAAGCAATAGGCAAATTATTAATGAGTGCCTAACATCTAAGTATCTAAACAAATAAAACACCTCATTGCTGTAAATATGTGTAAAAAATTTAGTATCTTTCTGTAGAGGAGCTGGAGAGATAGTATACATGTTCATATAATTCACACACACACACACAAAATAGGAAAATCAGCTGTCTCCTAAACTAAAATGCTCATAAATCAACCAAAGAAAACATTTATGAGAGAAAGTAGGAGGAAAGAAAAGTACTGATTTTTTATATGCTTGTTTTTGCAGTGGAGTGGATTCAAATAAAGGCAAACTAAACAATTTTATCCAGGGGCTCAGTATGAAGAATGCTCTCATCTATTCTTCCCCTACCAAATAGTAAATGATAATAATAAGAGCCAATGGTCATACAGTACCGAACATTTATATAAGCATTTTACAAATAAGAATGAATTTTAACCCTACAATAACTTTATGAGATAGGTACAATTGCTCTTTCCATTTTATAGGTAAGGAAACTCAGATACAGAGAGATTAAGAAAATCACTTAAAGCTACAAAGTCAGTGAATGGCAAAGACAGAAATTAAACCAAAATATTTTAGCTCCAGGGTCCATGCTCTTAACCACTTTTTATGAGAAAACTTTTCTAAAAATTTGCTTAAGAGGTCGGCATCTGACATGCTCTTTTTCCTTAAAAATACAATCTAAGGGAGTATTCCCAGGAGAATATTTTTTTTGCTGACTAATAAAGAAACAGAAGACCCAAACAAACATTACTGGTAGCCTCTGGAGAATAAAAAGCTCCCAGTTCCTCTGCCGTAATACCCTTCTGAACCACAAGTTGGAAAACCCCTATTCTGGGTATCAAAAGTGAAACCTTCAGCCAGCCTGCTTCCCTGGCTGTTGCTCTCTCAGAGCAGCAAAAGCCTGAGTTGGAGCCTTACTTGAACTTGCCTGGAGGCTTATTTGGCTTCTTTAGGATCAAACGATAATCAGTCTTATTTGCTCAAATCACCTTGGGACAAGCAAGACAGTTAGAACTAATGGAAAGTTACTATTACTGCATTCGGAATGTATTTAGGAACAATGCAGTTCTGACTCAATTCTCTTACCTCCTCTGCCCTGACTCTTGTCCTTTCCTTTCCTCTTACTGTTTCTTGACTGCTAATCAGTTCTTCCTTCATTTGAAATCTTACCATCTCCCTCCCAGGGTTACCACTTCAGTTGCCCTTTCCTCCTCTGCCTGTTACCTCCAGAAAACAGAAGGCACATTTCACTCGGCAGTAGGAGATGCAGTGAATCCAGTGTGGCCACTTCCTGGCTGTGTGATGGGTAAGGCAGTAAACCTCTCTGGACTTCACTTTCTTCTCTATTCAATGGGGAGGCTCATTTCTCCCAGGGCATTAGACCCAACTATTTACTGAGGTTCCATTCAGCTCCAAGAACTATGATTCACAGAACACTTCATATTTCACATAATAACAAAAAACATTTTGTTGTTGATCATGTTTAAACTCTTACAACACAGGAATACAACCTTCTTTCATACTGAAGTAAGATTCCCATAGTGTCAGGAGAATAACCAAGTGGGACATTTAGCAAGATATTATGCTTAAACAAATGCAATGTGGGGAAAGGGAGAAAAATATTAAAATATATTGAACTTATTTAAGCCTGAAGTTGATAGCTTTGGCAACTGTCCAGCAAAAGTAAACTCTTACTGAGGCAAATGGAGAGGCTTTTGCTCTCCATAATATGGGCTGAGTGCTAAATTTTCTATTTGACTTATAGATCATGATCACTAGTGAAATATAATCAGTTAAAATAAAAATAAATAAGTGCAGTTAGCTACTATTTGTTACATATGCCATGCCTACTAAAAAAATCATCAATATTTTGAAAACTAAAGACTTCAGTTTAGGCCTTAGATAATCACATCAGATTTCTAAGATCAGAATATGGTTTGAATATTTTGTTTTTTAAAAAATCATATTGCTGGGCGTGGTGGCTCACGCCTATAATCCCAGTACTTTGGAAGGTGGAGGCGAGAGGATTGCCTGAGCCCAGGGGTTCAAGATGAGCCTGGGCAACTTGGCAAGATCTTGTCTCTACAATATATTAAAAAATTAACCAGGCATAGTGGCACGCGACTGTGGTTCTAGCTACTTGGAAGACAGAGTCCAGGAAGTCGAGGCTGCGGTGGCTGGGAGTGTGCCACTGCACTCCAGCCTGGTGGGCCAGAATGAGACTCCAACTCAAAAAAATAATAATTAACATCTCTTTATCATTCACAATGGTCTGGGTGAAATACTGGCTTGAATTGCTCTCATGAGCACTTACAAAATGCCACACTCTTTCCATGCTCAGAGCATGGTAAAGGGGCTCTGCCCTGGCAAGAAAAGGTCACAGTGAGCACAAGAATTTCCAGTTTATGTGCTTTCTGAATAAAAGCACCAAGGAGTCCTTTTTTCTGTATGGCAAAAACAGACACTTCACTTTTTAAATGAACGAGATCAAAGTTGTGACAGGCAGAAAGGCAGATCTCCTCATTCCTTCCACAGCCAGAAGAGAAAGAAAGCCAAGCTCTCCAAAAGCAACATCTTGCATAATTTCTGTTGCCCTGACCAGGTTCTTGGCAACCTGTGATCTGTGGAAATTCTTCTAAAGGGCAAAATCAATTATTCAGTGACATAAGAATAATGACTCCATATGTTGACATTATCTGGCTTTATTTAGTGAGGGGTTGAAAATAAAAATCTTACTTGTTATTAGACTGCAGGGGTCTTAAGTAAGTAACAAGAAGAGATTGAAGTTCTTTAGCATACTCTTTTTCAGTGTCCAAGATATTCTGTAACACCTATGAAGAAACAAAGTCAATATATTATAATTGTCAAGACAGTCCAAGGTAAAATACAGGTTTAGATCTTTTAATCAAGTGAGTAGGGAAAAAAAGGTGCTATTTACTCAAGCTAGCACTCTAAGTAAGGAGCACAAAATCTGAATACACTTCGTTTCTATCTAATAATTTATATATTTTTTGAGTCGGGATCTCACTCTGTTGCCCAGGCTGGAGTGCAGTGGTGTGATCATGGTACACCACAGCCTCAACCTCCTGGGCTCAGTGAGCCTTCCACCACAGCCTCCAGAGTAGCTGGAATACAGGTGCATGTCACCATACCTGGTCTTTTTTTTTTTTTTTTTGTAGAGGCAAGGTCTCACTATGTTGTGTAGGCTTGTCTTGAACCCTGGGTTCCAGGAATCTTCCCGCCTCAGTCACCCAAAATGCTAGGATTACAGGTATGAGCCACTAAACCCAGCCAATCTAGCAAACTATTTTAATAGTTGCATAACAACCACGAACACAATTTTTCAATGTTACCCATAACTGGAAGGCGTTTGCCATTTACATACTGTTCAAAATGTTTTCATGTGCTGAAAATATTTTATCCTCAGGAAAGGTCTCAGTTAACAAAGGATCATTACTGTATTACCATTTTATGGATGAGAACATTGTGGCCAGCAACCTTAAGACATAGAGATTCAATGTCAGGATAATTTAAGGATAACTGTGATGTCAAACATTTACAAAATGTTTTTGTTTAACTTATGTTTCTGATAAGACTTTAAGGAACAAATCTGTAGAAACAGTGAATTGTTAAGCAGAGTTAAAACTAGTCTTTTAACCGGGTGCAGTGACTCACACCTGTAATCCCAACACTTTGGGAGGCGGAGGTGAGAGGATTTCCTGAGTCCAGGGATTCAAGACCAGCTTGGACAACATGACGAGATCTCATCTCTATAATAAATCAAAAAATGAGCTGGGTGTGGTGGCACGCCCCTGTGGTTCCAGCTACTTGGAAGGCTGAGGTGGAAAGATTGTCTGAGCCCAGCAGGTGAGGCTGCGGTGGCCATGAGCATGCCACTGCACTACAGCCTGGGCGACAGAGCATGACTCCGACTCAAAAACAAAAAAAAAACTAGCGTTTTAATAAAGGACAAGGGTGCTACTATGAACAATTTAAAGAGAAAAGGAGGCTTAAGTGTGAGGAATTTAACAAGAGAAATAATACTAATCATTATTAATAACACAATTAAAATCCTGTAGGCAAAGCAGCCAATTTATGGGTCCACAATTTCTCTTCCCCTGCCAGTCTTAGGGTCACATCCCATTTTTTTTTTTTTTTTGAGTTGGAGTCTCACTCTGTCACCCAGACTGGAGTGCCGTGGCCGCTCCCGGCCACCGCAGCCTCGACCTGCTGGGCTTCGGCGATCCTTCCTCTTCAGCTTTCCGAGTAGCCATAATTACAGGCGCGCGCTACCACGCCCGGCTAATGTTTTGATTTATTGTAGAGATGAGGTCTCGCCTGCCCAGGCGGGTCTCGAACCCGCGGGCTCAGACAATCCACTCACCTCAGCCTCCCAAAGGTGCGGGATTACAGGCTGAGCCACTGAGCCCGGCTACATCCCATTTTTCAGCCTCTTCTGAAAACAGGTACATCCTTCATTTCAAGTTCTTAGAGATAACCAAGTTAACATTTTAGTATGTTTTCATTCATATCTTCTAATTCGTTCAACAAAATTTACTGAGTGCCTACTCTTGTGCCAAATGCTGTGCTGTTCACAGGGAGTTTCCAGTCTATTCGCAGAGGAAGACATTAGGCAGAAGACTGTAAGAGAGAGTGAAGTGTCCTTAGCTAGGAGATGTACACTAGCCTACCGATATGCCAGGTATATACTCACAAGACAATGCATGATGGCCCACTTTAGAAAGATGGAGTAGTCCAAACAAGTGGAGACCCAGGTAACTGTGGGTTCTCTGAGAAGTAAGTGGGCTGCAGGATGGTAGTCCTGACTCTACTACCAACTGACAGGTTGCTTCAGTTTAGAGCTTTGCTCTCCTCATATCCAATTGTGACATTTCACCTACCTTAGGGACCATTGTTGAAGAGGTAATAAAACACTGGACAGATGGGTGCTGGGTGAAATAGTCCTACCAATTTAAAGGCTTAAAAAATAGTTTCTCAATGGCAGCATTATTCACATTTCAGACCAGATAATTCTTTTTTGGGATGGGATGCTTCTACCCATTAGATGCCAGTTGCACCCCACTCCTAATTATGACAACCAAAAATGTGCCCAAATGTTGCCAAATGTCACCTGAAAGGCAATATCACTCCCAGTGAGGATAACTGGTTTAGAAAAACACAAGCCACAGGGAGGCTTCAAAAGTTACGGATAGGTTGTAGACCTTACTCCTAGTCACTCATGTCTACTTTCAGTTCCTCTATTTCTTAGATACTATTCTCTAAAAGTGTAAATGCGGAGGTCTGGAGGTTCTGATGTTCTCTGAAATTAATCCAGGGATGGAATAAAAATATGTTACTCCCTAAAGAAAGTCCAAGTACAGCAAAGGAAATTAGAAACTACTTTGAGACAAATGAAAATGAAAACCCAACACAAAATCTCATGAGGTGCAGTTAAACAGGGCTTAAAGAAAAACATGTCATTAAAAATGCCTGTATTAAAAAAGAAGAAAGAAGAATTCCAGTTTCCAGCCCAGCATAAAAGGAATTTGAAAGTAGTTACTATATTCTAATAAGAAGTAAATAGGTAAACAAACTAAAACAAACACACAAACAAATGCTTTTTCTTAGATCTGTCAGAGAAGTGAAGTCACAAGGAAAACTACTCCAAAAATTAGAGAGACAGGCAGATAGAGAGAATCACAACTTACCAGAGGAGAAACCTATAAGCAGAAACCTCCACAGAAACCAGTACCTCACTCATAAGTGAACCCTGAACATTTACCATAATACTATAAGAAAGAGATTGGTAGTAATGGGATACTGACAGGGTGGGGGTGGGGACACGACATCAATAAGAGTACCTGATCTCAAACCAGGCCAAGTGGGGACTAAAGGGAGGCCCAAACTTTACGTGTACGATGACTACTTGTATACCTAATCCTGAGTTGTAACCCACATCTTTAAAACTTATAAATAAATAAGTCAAATTGAAAAAAAAAAGAAAAACCAGTACCAGGGTAGGAAAACCTAATTTGTAACTGACAAATTGCTGGGGACTCAGCATGGACAAGTCTGAGATTTGGGAACTCCAGAAGGCCCCACATTACAAGGGCACACCACGTTTTTGTGAGTTTTACCTCCAGGAGTTCTACCAGTTTATCTCAAAGAAGATTAGAGGAAAATATCCTCACGCTTCAGGCAGAAAGAGGGAGCAACTAGCCATTTTGAAGTATGCCAAATTATTCTGTTGTCCTCCTCCTCTTCTTCCTCTTCTTCTTCCTCTTCCTCTTCTTCTTCTTCTTCTTTGAGTCAGAATCTCACTCTGTCACCAAGGCTGTAGTGCAGTGGCACGCTCATGACAGCCACTGCAACCTCGACCTGCCGGGCTCAGGCGATCCTTCCACCTCAGCCTTCCAAGTAGCTGGAACTACAGGCATGCACCATCACACCCAATTAATTTTTTTATTTATTATAGATACGAGGTCTCACCATGTTGTCCAGGTTGGTCCATTCTGTTCTTCTTCTTCTTCTTTTTCTTTTCCCCCCAATAGCTGGAAGAAAACTGAATTTTTATTTTTTTGTTTGCTTTTGTTTTTATTTTTATTTTTTAAATTTTTTTATTAACAAGGCCTACCCTCATAAGAAATTTATTTTACCAGAGCATACATAACCTATTAGAGTTTTGTCAAAACCTAACTGACGCAGGAGAAGGAAAAGACCCAGCTCCAGCCAGCTCTAGGCTTCCACACAAGGGAAGGAAGATATCTGACTCCAGCCTTTTCTAGCCACCCTGTCCCACCTAAGTGTGAAAGGGAGGGGGACTGAGAAGCATTGGTGAAGTTCAGAGTCTGAGGCAAGGCTCACTGAAAAACTGAGACCTAACCATGGGAATATAGACTGCTTCCGCTTCCTCTATACCTCACCACCACATTTCTAAAGGCCTATTTATCACAATTCCTTTTATCCAATACATCATGCCAGGCTTCCAACAAAAAAAGACATACTAAAAGGCAAAAAACACAGTATAAAGAGACAAAGCACACATCAGAACTAAAGTCAGGTATCACAGGAATGGTAGAATTATCAGACCAGGATTTTGAAATGAATATAATTAATATGCTAAGGACTCTAACCGAAAAAGTAAACAGCATGCAAGAACAGATGGATATTATAATCAAATAAATATTATAAGGAAGACTTTAGAGGAAATGGTAGAGATCAACAACATTGTAATAGAAATAAAGAACGTTTGTTATGGGCTCAATAGTAGACTGGACATGGCCAAGGAAAGAATCTTTGAGCTTAAGAATATGTCAGTAGAAGCTGCTAAAACCAAAATGCAAACAGAATAAATACTGGGGGAAAAAACAACAACTAGAGCAGATTATCCAAGAACTGTAAGACAACTAAAAAAGGCATAACACACATGTAAGGAAATAAAAATGAATAGAAGGAATAGCTGAAACAATAATGACTAAGAATTTTCCCCAAAATTAATATCAACACCAAACCACAGATCCAGGAAGCTCAAAAAACAACAATCAGCATGATTTTTTAAATCTATGCATACCATTTTCAAACTACACAAAATAAAAGATGTAGAAAGATTTCTTGAAAAAAGTCAGAGGAAGCAAACAGTTCTTTAGAGAGAAGGAAAATGATATAGATAAGAAATTTGGATCCTCATAAGAAGAAAAGAATATTAAAGAAGGAATAAGTGAAGATAAAATATTTTATATTTTCTTATTCTTAATTGACCTAACAGATAAAGTTTATTCAAAATAATAATAGCAACTATGCAGTTGATTATGTGTATACACTTATGTGTGCT